GAAGCTACGCCATCGGTTCGCAAAACTACGGCGGGAGATCTTGTATTGAGAAGAACCGGCAAGAAACTCAGCAAAGACTGCTTTTTTCTCCCTGTTTTGATATATATACAGAGTCGTCAGGTTGAAAAATGACTTCAGAGATACTTCTGAAGTCACCTTCCATTACATTATTTAGGATATAGATATATACACACATCAAAAGTGTCTAGGGATCAAGCATTTTTATGCGGATTTCTTGAGATTGAGATGTGGCTTTGTAATAAATTTATGATTTTATAAATTTATATGGATCCTTTTTGGTGCATTTCATAATTTGAATCAGGAACTGTGAATCAAATTCGAGTAAAAGATGAAAATCAGCTGTCAATATTTTCCCTATAAAAACATACAACGCATTGAAGACATTATTAGTGCTACTGTTTCCCTACTACTGATTAAAACCAACGTTATTATGGAGCGGCGACGTCATTTAAGCAGGGAAGAAATGCTCAGAGCCGTGGGAATGATAGAAGCTGGTTCCCGGCAACGTACTGTGGCTTTAGCTCTGAATACAAGTCAGAGTGTTATCAGTCGACTTTGGACACGATACCGAAGCACTGGTACCGTGGCTGAGCGCCATGGAGGACGGTATCGCTGCACCACACGGAGACAAGACCGATACATTCAAATCTTAACTCGAAGAGCTCCAACAATAACCGCCATGATGTTAGCCGTGAGGCTTCATCACTCTTCAGGGAACTTAATTAGCGACCAAACAGTCAGAAACCGCTTGCATGAAGTGAACCTTCATTCCCGAAGACCGCTACGGGTACCACCTATAGCAATGCACAATCGTAGGATTCGATATCAATGGGCTCTTGAACACAGAAATTGGGCAGAAGAACAATGGCGTTTCGTGTGCTTTTCTGATGAGTCTCGTTTTGGTATGAGACCGGATACAAGACGTATACGACACTGGAGAACCCCTGGACGCCAACAGCGATTAAAATCCTGCCAGGAAGTCCATCCTTATAGTGGTGGAACCATCATGGTATGGGCGGGTATTTGGATCGGCGGAAGAACTGAGTTGATTTGGATCAGAGGCAACCTCAACGCTCAAATTTATGCTGAGACGATTGTATCAGACGTCATCGTTCCTCTACAAGTGCAAATCGGTCCCTTATTTCAGTTAATGCATGATAATGCACGACCGCACACCGCAAGAGTTGTAAGACAGACTCTCGCCGCAGCTAACATCAATGTCCTGCCCTGGCCTGCTCAGTCGCCAGACTTGAACCCGATTGAGCATGCATGGGATATGCTACAGAGAAGAGCTCTGCCGAATATGGAGGGTATCCAGTCGCAAGAAGACCTTTTTTTGTTGTTGCAACGAACATGGGCGGCCATTCCACAGCGTGATTTGGATGAACTCATTTTGAGTATGCCAAACCGATGTTCTTGTGTTGTTAGTGTTCGCGGTAGAAATACGGATTATTAATTGTTTAAGTTACCCAATAAAATTTTAGAGAAAACTGTTATTTCAGTCTTTTTTTCGAACTTTTGTGTTAGTGGTTCAAATGTCAAAAATCCCTTTATTAGGAAAATGGCAAATTTCTTTATTAATGCAAAGGTGACTTGGTTTATCGTTACTGTGACAAACGAAAACACTTTATTTGATGAATCCTTAAAGAAAATTTTAATTAATATCAATCAGGAGAAAAGTTATTGCAAAAATATATGTTGATCCCTAGACACTTTTGATGTGTGTAGTTACAATAAATTTTATATTTAGTATATAGGAAGCGGCATTAGATAGGTACCATATTACTGTTACAAAAACTGACTCATACCCATCAAATAACAAATTACAAGGAACACTATGTCCATGCATTTCGATCATTTAAATAATCATTAACTTTATAATAGCCCTTATTCATAAGAGTATTCTTAATCTGAGATTTAAATTTGGTTAGTGGAAGCTCAATCAGATCTTGGGGAACTTTGTCAAACAATGCAATACTACATCCCAGAAATGAACCTCTTGATTTTTGGAATCTGAAACATGGAACGGCAAGCTTATTCTTAAATCTCGTGTTAAAGTTATGGGTTTGACTTTTTTTTGCAAATGCGTCATAGTTTTTTCTTACATATACTAAATTTTCAAAAATGTATTGCGATGCCAGTGTTAAAATATTAATTTCTTTAAATTTTTCTCTAAGAGATTCTCTTGCCTTTAAATTATATATGGCGCGAACAGCTCTCTTTTGCAGAACGAAAATACTTTCTATACTAGCAGCTGAGCCCCACAACAAAAGGCCATATTACATAACGCTATGAAAGTAACCAAAGTAAACCAATCTTGCCGTTTCCACATCAGTTAGAAGTCTTATTTTTTTTGACAGCAAAAGCCGCAGAGCTCAGTCTACTTGATAAGGCATCAATATGAGGATCCCATTGCAGTTGCAGATGCGAGTCTAAAGTAATACCCAGAAACTTTGTAGAATCCACTAACTCTACAGGCTGGTCATTTATTTTTAAACAGTTCACGTAACATCCCTTCTCAATGTCAGACCGGCTCGGATATATATATTTTCCCCCTATTTTCTACCCCTTCGTACGACCCCCCACACAATAATAATAATAATATTTATTTATTTCACAAGCCAGTTTTACAAGAATCGTACAACACAACACAATATACAGTATAGCTTAGAATAAACATTTATAGTATTTTCTGTGCCTGTACTAGGTTATAAAAATACCTGTATCACAGACACAGCGCTCATCCCTAAGGACCAGTTATACAACCTTTATGTAAGGAAAAAATACAATTCTTGTGTTAGCTTAACAAAGTTAAATCAAAATATTATTTAAGTAAAAGAAATTAATTATTTATGTGTTTATCGAACCTCCTTTTGTGTGAAGTAAATGTGAATGTGTGTGTGTAGGAGGCTGTATGAAGATTGAACTTTAGATGTCCTGATAATCCTAATATTATTGAGAAATTTTGAGGCCAAATTAAAACCTATGTTAGAAAAATAGTTATTAATTTTGTTAATAGAATATACCGTCTCCGAAGAAGTTAATAATGCACTTGCATGATTTTTATTTTTTGTAGTGTGAGTAGCCTTTTTGATAGCATCCCATAGTTTTTTTGAATTATAACCCGCTTTTTTAATTTCATTCCTTTCATAAATATTTTTGGCTTTTTTGATTATATTGGTACAATAATTTCTATATCTTGTGTATGTCATCTCTTATCTATTAGACAAGTCCGTCCGTCCGTCCGTGGTGCTGTTTCAGCGGCCAAACCGTAAGAGATAGATAAAGAGAATGTTTAAGTTATAAGTTGAGAATAGTCTGATAAGACTACAAACCTGATGTGAGTAACGTAGCACTTCCGGTTTGCGAGAAATCACGTGATTTCTATTTCAAACGAAACCTCACAAAATCTCCGATGTTCTCAATTAATTAAACACATTTTTTTTTTGGTGAACATTTGGTTCACTGGTTTGCTAGTTTTAAGTATAATGTTCTCCGGGTTCTTTTTTAATTTTTTATGCATCATATCACGATTTCTAAGACATTTAAGAATGCCTGGTGTTATCCACGGCTTAATCAAACTTCGTCTACATGCCACATTTACCACAATTGAATTCGAAATAATAGCTTGTCGAATACTTGACAAAAAGTATTACATTGAGGAGTTCACATCAGGTGAAGAGAAAATTATGCTAAAATCTATGTTTTTTATGTCGCACCTTAGTTTATTAAAATTAATTTTGGTTGATTTTCTATGGGTTTGTACTTTAGGTGATTTTAATTGAAGACATAGCAAAACTGCCTGATGATCCGTAACCGTGCTGTTCAGTACTAACGTATTTGCTTTTTTATGGGTTTTTAAAATAACATGGTCAAGACATGCCAGTTCACGCGTTGGCAAGATATGGGCAGGCAAAAGACCATGAAACGCAGTCAAATTCAGGTATTCATTAGCGGAATTATCTAAGTTCTGCTGCAAAATATTTATATTAACGTCACCGATAATAGCAATATTTTTGAACGAATTTTATTAAGAACAGAAAGAACAAAATTCAGAGATTTTAGAAATGGACTGACGTTTTTATAAGAAGGCGATATATACATTGCAGTTAATGCAGTTTCAGAACCAAATTTAAGAACTAAGCTATTAGAATTAGGTATATCAGGTTCCTCTATGACCATACTTATATAAGACTTAATTTATATAACCACGCCCTCATTTTGGTTTTTATTTTTAGTACTTTCATAACAAGAATAACCTTCCATTTTTGGTAAAATGGGATTACAAGATAACCAGCACTCTGTTAACACAAGTATGTCACATTCAAAGCTCAGTCTATGAAACAAAGTGACTAGTGCATCGAAATTTCTATTAATACTTCTGATATTTTGGGTTATTATGGTGAGGTAGTTAGAAGGGTATTTAATTATATTAATGCATTCTTCAATATCACATACCTGAGAGTCAGAAACTGAAATGTTGTCTATATCTTCAATAATGTTTTCATCCATAATGAGAAGATACAAAATGCAATAGGATCAATTTGGGTAATATAGCATGAGTACATATATCTACAAATACACAAATTATGATGCAGAAAGATTTTTTTTTTTTTGGGAAAAGTAACACAATGTTTTAGTGTGTATATGTAATAGGTAAATATCATCTCTTTGTTTATAATATATAACGAGAAGCGATGGGTTATGTGTAAAGTGTGATATAGTTTATTAAAACAAACAAAAGAGAAAAACGAAAAAATCATTGCAGAATTTAAAGATAATTCAGGGTTTAGTCAGATACTTTCAGCATTTTTTAACTCTGTCAGATCTGCTTCTGCAATAATACGTAGTTGCGCCTTCTTTTTTACGTAAGTAAATTTTATCAGAATAAATGTCATCAGACGGAACCTTCTAATAGCTCCTATTTAAAAGACTGACGATTTAGACGCGGCCCATAGTCATGACCGATTGTTGAATTTGTTTTTGCTGAACTTTGACCATCTCATAAAGGGCTCAGGTATGGTGGGATACTTCCCAAAGTGCGAGGTTGCCCCCCTTATGTTATTATCCCGCGCTCGAGTAAATCCCAAAATCCTCGCTTTGTCTCCCCTTCTACTAGGTACTGCAACACCTAGTAGATGGGGAGACATACTCCGACTACTGCAACCTCTTTTTGTAAAAGGTTCAATGACAATAATTAAAAAAATAAACGTCTAAAAATAAAAAAATGTCCCCCCACTGACTAACCGTTTCTAACACATAAAATATAGAATTCTTACAAAAAAAATCTATTTTATTAAAGTTCTGCTTATTATTATAACATATTGATAAAACACAGCAAACATGGGAACTGTGTTGGTGCGGACTTAATAACAACAGTTGATTTACGTGAACTGCCATAAGTTCGGTTCCCTAATGCTTTTCATACATGAATGATAGTAAAATAGATGAACTGAAGATAGCCATGTAAGTACCTACGCTCCGATTAACTAATAATCTACAGGTATTTAATGTAAATCCGAAAGTAACTGTTTTCTCTGAATTAAGTATTCACTCCTGTCTATTACGCTTCTTATAATGTTTTTTTTTATTTCTTAAGTTTTCACGCACACCACTCATTAAATAAAACACTGTTTCAACCGATTTAAGATGCGGTTTAAACTCCCTCTGGCAACAGGGCTCTCTACGTTTCGGATCCTTTAATGTTCCGTTTTCGAGGAAAGAACTACTCTTAAACTAGTTGAAGCAGTGTTTTATTTAATATTATGATGTATTTTGTGTTCGTTCCCACATCCCACTAGTACAACCGATTAGTTCAACCGTTAAAGTGATGGGTTTTTCGAATAGTTCACCTGCTCATATCAGTTGTGTTGCTTTGGAAACATAGGGGACCTCTTTAAACTTTTAAGTTGATAATGATATAGGATAAATCAGGGAAGGTGTTATGTAGCACCTGGTTTTGTACCCTTGTGTACCCTTCAACGGCCAAGTCACACAACATTAACTATAATAATAAAGAAAACGCAGTAAGGAACCTTAGACTTGGCACTACTTTGTCTAGATTTCATTACTTTTCAGAGATAAACAAGCAGCTCCATCGAGACTTGGCTAGTTCTTTACAGAATGTTTATGGTGTAATTTCACTTCTTTTTATAGAGAGTTTTTTTCTTTTTATGAGTAGTATTTTTATTATTGCAAATCTTTCTTTTCTTTTTATCCGGTTCTGATTCTTGTACAGTAGCAACAGTTTTTCGTATTGCCCATTCGCGTTCATTATTTATTCTTTTAGACGGTTTAATTTCTGAAAGATCGGCGCGGTATTTACGCCTAAGGTGGCCTAAGCCAGTTGTATTCGGTGATCGCTGAAGCTTGAGCTTTTATACTCTTGAAGTCAACATTTATGAGGTGCACCCCATGAAGATTGGTTACACGTGAAAGCGCCACGTAGGCTTGGCCACAAGAAAATATGGAGGTGCCAATGTCCATTAGGACATTTTTTAGACTTAGACCTTGGTATCACCACCACTCTTAGTCCAATGCATTATATTTTGACCAAATTTTGAGCGAAATTAATATTTTAGTGTAATTTGTTTATTTAATTTGTGTAATGTTCGAGTATAATAAAGTTACGCTCTTATAAACTCGTAAGTATAAAAGCCAGTCTAGTGTTATCCAGTTTTTCTTTAATTTTATTTATATGCATATTAAAAGCAGAAGGGGAGGCATTCGCCCAGCTGTGGGACGTTATAGGCTAGAATATATTAGAAGATGTATCCCACTATGCTGGATTTATGTAATGACAGTCGATTTTTTATGTACCAATAGTAGATAGTACCATATCCCTAATACAGCTGAGACCAGCTGAAGGTTCTTAATCAGATACTTCAGACGGCATAAGCGGCCCACCAAGTTGAATATTTTTTGTAAAGGCGATCTCTTCTAATAGTTTGGTTGGGATCTTGTGTTTTCTAATCAGGGTCATCAGGTACTCCAAATCTTCGATTATCCTAGAGTTTATAGTTTTCCCTTTATATGGCCATTAAACCCTAACTCTGTACCAAATTTCAGCTCTCTGAGTTTATGGGAAGTACTAGTTCTATTCTGATGATCATGAGTGAGTGAGTGTCATAAATGCGAAACTTTGCTTCCGCTTAACTTCGGAACTAAATGACCTACAGACTTGAAATTTTGGATTTTAAGTATGTGATTATAGCTTACTGGATGACGAAAATTTCTGCGTTCTGGTCTTATCCAGAGAATCTCAAATAGAGGCCTGAAAATGCGGCGAAATGGTTCCAGTAAAGGATGGTACGGCAGTGTTTGCTTCGCGCTCGACTTGGCGGGGGCACTGCCGTGCCTCCCGATTACCGTGATTTTGCGAATTATTGTGACGCACCAGTGGAATTATCGTTTAGCCTCGGAAAGACTTTATATTCTAATTTTTAATACTATGAGAAATACATACACTATATATTTTTTCATAAATCAACAACTTAATTACTATAGCTTAAACAGCATTTTTTTATTTAATTTCCGTTAATAAGTTGATGTTTTGCTGGTAGTTTGTCCAGAAAATGTGAAGCGGAGGCACCAGGGGATGTCAAATATAAGTTCTTTAGGATATTTTTTGACTCTTTCTATTTTTATAAGAACGTGCCTCAGTAAGATCACACATTATAGTGATATAATAAAATATTTTGGATCCTTGTTATAAAATAAGGGGTACATTTTCTTCCGGAGAGTGAAAATTCAGCCTCTCAAGCTTCACCTTATTCTATTCTTAATTTCGTGTAAAATAAACAAGACTAGAGTAACATGACCACTTTTTTTACTACTCTAATATTATACTCAAGTCGATTCCCTATACCAATGAGCATAATGTTCTCGTATTATTTCCTTCCCACCTTACTAGGGAGGAAGACGGCGACCAGGCAAGAAGGCCCGTGGAGGAGCCGCACGAGGAGTGGGCGCCATGGAGCCTGGTGGTGCCAACCAAGAACCTCAACGCACCGCCGCCTGTCACCGTCAGAACTGCTCCTGGACCGGCATGGGACATTGCGCAGGTGACACCTTAGGCAATATTATTTGGGAGAAGGTGGTGAAGCTGAAAAAGGCAGCGGAGCGGATTTGAAAGAGATTTCTAGGCATCCGGCCTGGCTGTTCGACACAGAAGCCAGGGTGGGAGGCGAAACAATGTCCTTCCCTTTTAACTCAGCGGCGCATTATGCATCATGCATTTCACTGAGTTTAAAAAACGTGAGACTTAAGCCGCACCAGGACTGAAATAAATTGAAATTGTCGGTCATATCCTTCAGTACTGGGTACTGGTAATTCTTTATGTTTTAATGTATATTTCAATGTGCTTCTTTTTTACGCCAGGTCCTCAAGGCTGCCTGTTTACTATGCAAGCCACCGGTTCCAGTTGACTTAAAGGATGAGCAAGATATGCGTTGCGTTTATTCGCTCATCTACGATGTCTTCAGATGTAAGTGTCTCTGTATACGGACCGGACCATAACATATATATGATTTTGCTATACTTAGGTACCAGGTCCTGAAGGCTGCCCGTTTACTATGCAATCCACCGGTTCCAGTTGTTTTTAAGGATGAGCAAGAGATGCGTTGCTTTCATTCACACATCTACGATATCTTCAGATGTAAGTTTGTCGCTCGTTTGCCAGTTAGGTTAAAGTTAAATCTGTGTGATATCTAAAGAGTCTAACCGTTCTTATCCCGTTTTCTAACTATATTTAAACATACCCAATTCAAATTTTAGTAACAGAAGTCTTATAAATCATATTAATTAATATCTGAATTTTACCAACTCTAATATTTTGTTGAGTAGGTACCTAACGTAGATTTATTTTGATTTATTGGTTTTACTTTTACCTATAAAAAACTTATAGCCTTGGAATTTCAACAAACTACCGGTTTCCAAGTTTGGGTTCCGCGGCGTAGCGACAGACTTGAGTCGTAAAGTGAGATTTATGATAGAACTAGTGGGTGCCCGCGACTTCGCCTGCTTGGAAATTTTTATTTTCATGATAATTTCCACCCCCCTTTTCGACGCCCTTAAGGATGACATCTACGATAAAAACTATTCTTTGCCCTTTCCGAGGACGCAAACTATCCCTACCAAATAACACTTACATTGGTTCAGCAGCTTAATCAGGAAGAGAGAGTCAGACAGACACACTTTCGCATGTATACTATTAGTATGGATTTAGTTTTAAATAAAAAGGAGACGCTCCCCCCGCCCTCTAGTTGTAAATCACTGGAGCCGAGGTGATTCGGGAAATATAAGGTTTCGGAAAATTGAAAAACGAGAGTCGTTCTACATTGAGTAGGTGTCACGAAGCCGTTCAGGGGTATGTTATTAGGGCTGTCTACTTCTTAAACATAAAAAAATCTTGTGTGTATAATTTGTCATCTTATCTTATAAATTCAGCTAACAGTGAACTTTGCAGTTTTTTTTGGAGATTTTAAAGAGGATGTAGTGAGCAAATCCATGCTTTAGTTTTTCTTTTATTAAATAATAAAAAGTCATATTTACCCATGGTATCACTAATAAATAAATTAGTAATTTTAGAAAATTTTAAAACTACGGCCCTCTATGGGGCTCTTTTCAACAATTCTTAGGCTATTTTATATAATACCTCATGTATGTTTTGGATGAACTCCCTTAGAAATTAAAAGTCTACTGAAATTTTATATTAGCTTTAACATAAACAAGCTCCGTTTGTCTTAGACGTGTTTTCGAGGAGTACAACTTAAAATATGTGCAGAAAATGGTCTAATCTTTCTTTTTTTACTAAGTAGGTACCTATCTTGTACAAAGTTTTTCAACCTGAAAACTGGCTACAAGAATTGCGAGTAACCCTATAAACAACATCGGTAGCTGTAAATTGGCTCACGCTATGTTCAGAACTAAGTTACTACTGTTTGGAAACATTATTTAAGTTTTATCAGGGTGCCTCGTGATTATGTCGCGATAAATGCTTACATGCACTCACTTCGAAACTACTTTCTTAACTGCCTATTGCCTAAACAGTAGTTATTATAGACAGGTGCCTAGGTAGCTTAGGTAAAATGGTGCTGCAGCAATTAGAAAATAGCTTTAGTGTGAAAACTAAGTTTTGAGTCTTGTGTGTAATATTATTAATGTTATGAATTCTAAAATAATTGAAGAAAATGACACAAACACGTTGGGAAAGAAATTTAGATCCATCTATAGAAAACACAAACACTATAAAGGCATGAAGTGTAACAAAAGTTAAATGTTTTCCACTAAAAATATTAAAATATTTTAGTTAAATGCTCTTATTATTAAATTGATATAAATATAAAAAAAATTACAACTTTCGGTAACGTACCTATTTAAAACAAGAATAAATAACTTTCTTGTGAATAACGGGTGGGTTTCCCGCATCTTAGTTAATTTGAATAGAACAAAGACAATTCATATTTCTTGCCCTGTTTCATCCCCACCGAGATTTAGTTGCGCAATAAAAAGTATGACCTGTTGTATTGTGTTCTACATTAGGTACCAAAATTCATAAAATTGTTCGGCTTAAGTATGAAAACATTACCAACAGAGTTAATTTTTAACTTAAGTATATGACATTATTATGCCTTCTAGTATTGCTTATAGTACTTAGATAAAAATATAGAATCTGAATCAATATATGTAAATTCAGTAGTATCGTAAAAATAAATGTCACAAGCAAAGGATCACGAATCATGTACTAGAATAGAAAAGGCATAAAGCGTATTTTATCTTTTTTGTGGGGTTTTTATTTTTCCATGGCTCGGCACTTTAGCTATTGCCATACAGATATTACTATGTCACGCGACTTATGTAAGCTTTTTCACGATACACATACGATTCGGCGAAATATTGCAAATACATGTGTCTTTTGTCTCTCAGATAAATCCATACTGAATCAAGCAATAGAGGACATCGAATTCTTCGGCCATTTTCCAGAGGTGAGATGTTTTGCGATAAGTCTGCCTATTAACATTTTAAAATTACGCAAGGTTTTTTTTTAAAGAATAGGTCCGTCAAATGACTCCACCCCACCTGATGTTAAGTGAAGTCCAGACGCGAAGGTAGCTGGTACAGCATTCTACCTGCCACTCCAGCCATCTTCACCCTGCCGGCCTGCATGTTGCTTCTTCACGCCTCTTTTAAAGGATCCCAGGTTGTAAGAGGGAGGGAACACGTGAGCGGGCAGAGCATTCCATTTACGGATAGTGCGACGTAAAGAAATGAGTCACCAAATTTGTTTGTACGCATTGGAATTGTGACCACAGATAGACGGTGACAACGTAGGCCAGCGCGCGTGGTCCTCTAAAGGAAAGGGGAAGGTGGAACAAATAGAATAACTCCTCAGAACACTCGCCGTGGTACAGACTATAGAACACGCTTAGTGACGCCACGTCACGGCGTAATTGAAGAGGCTCGCGGTGTTTAGTCACCTCCTCATCGCCTATGATGCGAGTCGCGCGCCGCTGTAACCTAAAGCATCGAGCAAGTACTTGGCAGAGCCATCCCAGAGGTGTGAGCAATATTCCACGCAGGACCGCACTTGCGTTTTGTACAAGAAGCACAGTTGATCGGGCGTGAAAAAACGCCGCACCTTGTTCAGGACTCGAGTTTGCGTGAAGCTGTTTTGATCATGGTTTCGATGTAGTCCTTTGGGTTCAGGTCTGAGCGAACTTCCATACCGAGCATGATAATGTTGCTTTGTAGCGCCAGTGTTGTGCCCTGAAAAGAGGGAAAGGGAAGGAATGGCGATGTTTTGCCGTGAAAGTGCAAGCCTGAGTTTTCTTGGCATTGAACTCAACCAAGTTCCTGGTACAAATGTGGTTTAAAGCCTGATTGAATTCAATGACAAGATTCTCCCGTTTCTTCTTAGTTACCGCCTGCCCAGCCGCTGCTTGTCTGAGATACACCACATGCACTGTACTATCGTCTGCATAGCATTGAATATTCCCAAGAGGAATGAAGTCATTGATATGCAGCAGAAAAAGAGTGGGGGATAGGACGGAGCCCTGGGGAATGCCGGCATTTACTGATATGAACCGCGAACTGCTACCATCCGTAAGGACACGAATTCTACCCTCTTATAGCCTCACCTCAGATATGAGTCAGTACGCTAGAAGATCACCCGTCGATCGTCTAAAATCATATTGACGATCATTAATCAAGGAGTTATCCTCTAGAAAGCGGGTCAGATGGTTGTTAAGGACCTTTTCAAGAATTTTACATAATACTGAGGTAACTGCTATTGGCCGGTAGTTTGCCGGGTCTGAGCGATCCCCTTTTTTGGTCACTGGTTGCACGTTATGCCGGCTACAGACCTTCAGTTTTGACTGCACAGTTTTAACTGAACAGTCGAACTGTTCAGTTAAAACTGGCGTCCCTAGTGTCTACACACGTTGAGTTATTTCAGTTGTAATCTTTTTCGCTCGAAGTAACACGTCGCCATGGCATCATCAGATGACACTGTGGCAATTATTGGACTATTATGCATTTTGGAAAAAAGAATACAAAGAAGGAAAAAAATGTGGTGTAAACATTGGTTATTGAAAAGAAAACTTTATTCGCATGACAATTTACTGAAAGAGCTCAGAATTTGTCCAAAAGACTATAATAACTATTTGATGGTTCAATCTCTCGAAGTTTCGCCAATAACTTTTCGTAGGCTGCTTCTTTTTTGCCACGGTCGTGGTACTCTTTTGTTTTAACTTTCCACAAGCAAGGCTCTGAATGATATAATTCTATAAATTCTTCTAACCATTCACGTAGATTTGGCATTGTTAGTTTCGATGTAACTATCACTAAAACTATCATAAAACACGTGATCACTCCGGCGGCGCTTTGGCAAAACTGACAACTGCACAGTTATTTTTGCTACACACCTTCAGTTTTACTTGCACAGTTTTAACTGAGCAGTTTTATTTAATGATTTTTAAATAAATTGTCAGTTCAACTGTACAGTTTCTAGTTTTGCCTACACACGTACGTTTTAACTGAACAGTTCGACTGTTCAGTTAAAACTGTGCAGTCAAAACTGAAGGTCTGTAGCCGGCATTAGCATCTCTTCAAGTCTCCGGCACACGCCCCAAAGAATACAAGCATTGGTACAAGTGCGTGAGCACGGGAGACAACTCCGCTGCACATTTTTTCAGCACTACTGCTGGGATGCCATCAGGTCCATTGGCTTTCCGGATGTCGAGTAACTGCAATTCAGCACGAACCTCACGCTTTTGATATTAGGCATCGTTGTGTCACAATGAGGTAATGATGGTGGCAGTGCATTGCAATCATCGATTCGGGAGTTAGCCGCAAAGGGTTTAGCCAGTAAATCGGCTTTCTCCTGCGGCTTATGAGCTAGTGTTCCCTCTGGGCATCTCAGGTTTTTTTATTTTAAGCATTTTCACTGTTAGATCTTAAAATCCAATGAAAATTTTACTACATAAGAATCTACTCGGTTCCGTCTGAAACTTGGACCTGGAGTGATGTTTTTCCTAGAAAAAAAAATGCTTTAGATTACTCAAGGTATGGTAAGAAACTCAGGTTTTTCAGAAAGATTTAAATATTTGGCAAAAAAAATTCAGGCACTTTTTCCGACGTTGTAGTTATAGAGTTAGTAGCAAAAAATATTTATGGAAAATTTTTACGCACCATAATATAAATTTGAAATTTTTATTCGTGTTGTTTTCATTACCGTGATCTTGAACTTGCATGATTAATGGAGGTCGCATATTTATTGTCAATGCCATATTTCAGTCTTCATTACGATCCCTTTAGGGTGGATTCGACAAGATGGTAAAAAGTATGAGCCCATCAAAATCGCATTATTGCCATTACACCACTCTCGTGACCGATACCATTTCTTTTTCGTATTCTGAGGACACGAAAATGAGCTCTATATTTACCGGCGCTATTTCGATAAACGAGAAGAATCGGGAAATCCAAGTTTTGTTAAACTCAAACCTATTAATAACGGCATAGGGAAAAGCGGAAGGTTCCACAGTGGCACGACTTTGTTGTAAATGGGTGTTGATACTAAACGAGCGATTAAACTTTTGAGTTTCTTTATCTATTCAAACTATTATTCTTATCGCTCTTACATTTTGAATGTCATATGGGGCACTATAAGTTTCTTATTAAAAAAACTAAAGTAGGTATAATAAACAGATAGACATAAGACACATTATATGTAATATATAAAATTCTCGTGTCGCGGTGTTTGTGGTTAAACTCCTCCGAAACGGCTTGACCGATTTTTATGAAATTTTGTGTGCATATTGGGTAGGTCTGAGAATCGGACAACATCTATTTTTCATCCCCCTAAATGTTAAGGGTAATCCAACCCATTTTTTTTTCAATTTTAGATAAATTTTCTTTTTGATTTTTTTTATGATACAGCATTACTAATTACATATAACCCTGAATTTTCACCCTTCTACCACCAGCCCCTATTTTTATGGCGGTACGAAGTTAGCTGGGTCAGCTGGTCTTATATATAAAATTCTCGTGTCACAATTTTAGTTACCATACTCCTCCGAAACGGCTTGACCGATTTTTATGAAATTTTATATGCATATTCAGTAGGTCTAAGAATCGGCTACTATCTTGTGTTTCATACCCCTAAGTGATAAGGATCATCCACCATTAACATTTTTTATTTTATTTTTATATAATATGGCATCAAAACAATACAACCAACCCTAAATTTTCACCCTTCTACCGCTAACCCCTAATTTTATGGCGGAACGAAGTTCGCTGGGTCATCTAGTAAATCTATAAAAACACGATGATTAAGTACGTACTAAAGTACTAGCACTAAGATCAGATCACATCATATTATGCCAGTTCCTTGTATTTACATGGTAAAATTTTGCGGATTAAGAAAAGATATCATGACTTGACTAGGTAAAGAGTGGTTTATAGTTTCACAAATTTTCTCTCTCATGTCTACAACATAATTTTTCATACGGTTATGAATATTTTTTTTGTATCTAGCAAATAGGTAGGTACGGAGTAAACGAGAGTGTAAAAGCGTTTAAGCATCCAATGAAATTTATCTTTCGTTTGCTCCTTTCCTAATTTACTATAATTTAGGTCCGCGCGCAACTTAGAGCAATATGCTGTAAGGCGCGCAATGATTTTCTTTACCTTCCTTGGCCATCGTAGGTCCCCAGCATTTACTCCTTTCTATCATTTAAATGTAGTATTACATTACATATATCTATCTTTTCTTCGATCTTCTTCTCTTTGTAGTCCAAGTGTCCGTGCACTTGGTTCATCACCGCCTCTATCCTCTCATTTTATTACATTCCCTACTGTGACAGCCGTTAACCTGTTAATCGTTGAGTCATTGATGCTTTATCTATCCAATAACATAAGAGTGTGAACGAGTGAGAGTTATAACAGAAATATTGCGTCATCAGATTTCAAAGCATCGTAACTCGGTGTGGCTCTAAGTTATAACAGAAATAATGCGTCTCATCAGATTTCAAAGCATCGTCACTCGGTATGGCTCTTTCTCATGGAGTTGGCTAGACGCCGGTGGGTAGCCAGGCCGAGGAACGAGATCGAACGCGCCCGTGCCCTCCTGGAAGCAGCCGGGTCGCCTTTCAAGGATATTGAGAGCATCGTGTGGCAGCAGCGCGTACACTTTGCCGCGGCAATCGCAAGGATACGCATCAAGAACAAAGCCTACTCGTAAGCCGTTGATTTAAATAAATATTCTTTTGTTACAACTTACACCCAAACTGACGAGCTCGAGTGGTTTGTACACCGCGTTTCATGGTGTCGCCTACTCGAGAGGTCCCGGGTTCGAATGCCGGTGGGATGTTTGTGTGATGAATACAAGCATTTGTACTTCAGTTATGGATGTTTAATATGTATTCCTATTTAAATGTACTTATATAAGTACAGTATATATATATTCTATCCGTTACCCTAGTATCCTTTAATACAAGCCTTACAGTGCTTACTTTGAGGCTAGGCTAATTGGCGTGTCAAAAAAAACTATTTAGCCTAGCCTTATGCCAATGCTCTGGCTTCGTAAGGCTTGTGTTATAGGAAGCAAGCTTTAAGAATAACGGATAGAATATATTTATGTAAGTATTGTATATTAAAGTATTTATAATATGTTTGTGTTTGTATTATATTTTAATAAGTACCCAGGCTTATTACCGAGAAAGACTTATGGCATTAAGGCATTAGAGAATGACTTATGGCTCAGTTACATTTGGTCATTAACCCGTATTCGGTTGCAAGAAGGACATTACTCAAATTCGCGCACCCGAAGCAATATTTACATTGGAATGCAGCCCGCAAGGTGACGGTGTCAGGTAACCAAAACGAAAACTACCCGAATACGGGCGTACTAGACTCCGATCGTTTACACTTAGTCTTTTTTGCCCGAATTCCATTGGCATTCGTATTCGGGCTAACGCCCAAGTGTTATAGCGCCATTATGGCATTAAGTCCGCTATTAGCATTTTTTTTTGCAAAATAATAATAACAAGAGAGGGAAACGGCTTTTCGGCTCGATTAATTTAATACTAACGAGAAGAAGTTTCAGCACAAGCGCTTTAAAAGTTCGTTTCTCAATATAATTATGATGAGAAACGAACTTTTAAAGCGCTTGTGCTGAAACACTTTTCTTTTCTATATAATAGATAATTTTCTATAAGGCTCTAAAATACTTTTTTATTTAAGTATTCGAAAAACACAAAAACATCGAAACGGGCATTATTTTCGTCCTTTGTATGAACAATGAACCTTGACATACTTTGTGCGTGGTACTGATTTCTTTCAATTATCATGTAGGACATGAAATTGATTCTCATGGTTAAAATAATGCGAGTCTTTTAACGAGTGGGGAAACGGAAATTAAACATCATTGGCAAATTGAACTTTTGTCATATTAAATTGATACATAACACGTCATTTGGGACAGTCATGCAGGGTCGAAAACCGCAAAGGTGTGAGTGCTTATACCTACTATGAGATAAAAATAAATCGTGACTTGAATTGCCATTTTCGTAACTTTTTTTACTCCTAAGAGCCCTTTTCTCATTTTTTGAGCGCCTCGTTTACCCCCTTGGAAAAGATTTTTACTATTTTCAATAGAAGTAAACAGCAGATTTATTTTTCCTATTGTAAGTTAATATAAAATATTTGCAAATACTAATTTCCTTTTATGTACTGATCGTCGCAGCTAGTGTACGGAAAAAACGATTATATGCACAACTTCAAACGCCTCAATCTCTCAATAATGTTAAATAAATTAGATCAAATTAATTACTATGATATTAGAAATATGTTTTTGTTTTAACATAATGTATTAGAATTTAAATTTTCCATCTCATTAATTATCAAAAAAAACATCTAAACTCCGTGTAGCGGAGGAGGCTTCTTGGATTAAATAACGCAGAACTCGAAATAAATATTATTCATTCGCTGTTTAACAATTATATTTGAAGAGAAGAGTAAAAGTACAGGTAATCGTTACGCGCTTAAAAATTGAATATAAAAGAAAGTTAACCGCCACGAACCCGACGAATTTGCCGCTGCAGAACATTCATAGCCTTGGCTTCAACATGCCCCCGGCCTTGGAAGCTGTAGCTTTCAATGATGCTCCTTGGTTTCAACTGGAAGTGGACATATTCTCGAGAATGCTCGCCGCACAATTCCCGATGCAGTCCGGATATCAGCAACGCGCGAAATGCCATCATTGCCAGGATAAACCTTAGTCACTCTGCCCAGGTTTCACTTTAATGGTGGTGCATTGGTGTCTTTAATGACCACCTATGTTCCGATTTCTATGCTAGACTTATTCGTTTTCCACTTCGACCTCGTCTGCAGCTCCGAAACAAACTCAAGGGACCAGCGCCTCCAAAAGTGTTGTCGCATTTGCTCAACCCGTTGATACCTTGTCACACGATGCATGGGTCTGTCTTCCAGATTGGTGCAAGTAGGGGCGGTGAGAGGTCGACCGATGAGAAAATGAGCAGGGGTGAGAGGTGACATGTCTGTGGGGTCTGAAGAAAGTGGAGTCAAAGGTTGGGAATTCAGTACCGCCTCGATCTGCACCAACATAGTAGTGAACTCCTCGAATGTCAAGTGTGCATTACCTATTACTCGCCGGAGATGATATTTACAGCTCTTGACTCCGGCCTCCCACAATCCACCAAAATGAGGCGCATAAGGGGGGATAAAGCTAAACTTAATACCTTGACTAGATGCATAGTTAATAATTTTATCTGACGAATTAGAAATAAATTTTGCGAATTCATTCATGAGCCCAACGAAACTTTTGCCGTTATCAGAATAAATTTGTGATGGTTTTGAATGCCTAGAAATAAACCTTAAGCAAGCAAATAAGCGTCGGTTGTGAGATCACTAACCAACTCTAAATGAATAGCACGAGTAGAAAAACATACGAATAAGCATATGTATGCTTTAATAGTCTTAGCTCCCCTACCCTTTCTGTTTAATATGAGCACCGGCCCCGCATTATCAACACCACAGATCCTAAAAGGATAGCCTGGAGTCAGTCGATCCTTGGGTAAATTACCCATGATAGGTTCAGGTGTCTTAGCCCGCAACCTCGCACACCTAACATAGTTATTAACTACCTTTCTAGCGAGGTTGCGTCCTCCTATTGGCCACCAATTTTCTCGAATTGTGTACAAAAGTAGCTGAGAGCCAGCGTGTAATAATTTAAGATGCTCTTGTTCAAAAAGAATAACTGATAATCGATGTTTGGATGATATTAGAATAGGATGCTTTTTATTATATTCAAATTCAGAGGAGCCAAGTCGACCACCAATGCGTATAATCTGATAGTCGTCGATGAACGGGCTTAAATTCAATAAATTATGTTTATGTGGTAATATTTTTTTATTAATTAATAGTTCATAACTATCTGGAAATGATTCTATCTGTGAAAATCTAACCAATAAATTAAGGGATATTTTTAGTTTATCGGTAGAAAGTGGCCCGGTGCGTATATTGTTTTTATTATTTGAACTTCTATTATAACAAGCACGTTTCAAGCGAGCAACGCCACGAACCAGACGATCGAGTTGCGAGAACTTATGGAATGGAAATCTAAATTGCTTATTTTCACTTGTAGTAACAAGAGCGTGTGTCACATTTTTTATTTCAGGCAGCTCTTGCTCTAAGTTGAATTTAGACGCGGATGCATAATCAAAGTACGATTCGCGAAGAAACTCTGGTCCGGTCCACCATTGATCGGATTCGCTTAATAAATCTAACTCCAAACCTCGTGAAATTAAATCGGCTGGGTTGTCTTTACCATTGATATGACACCATTGATTTTTTTTTGTCAACTCGCGTATTTCAACAACTCGACTTTGAACGAAAGTTTTTAGTAGACTTGGCGTCGTGCGAAGCCAGCCCAAAACAATAGTGGAATCGGTCCAGAAAAACGTATTACGAAAGGTGCAACGCAGCGAGGCAGTTACCCTTTCAAATAATTTAGCGCTAAGTAAGGCACCGCATAGTTCCAATCTGGGAATACTAACTGGCTTTACAGGTGCAACTTTTCCCTTTGAACAGAGAAGTTTAGTCAGTACCGTACCATCTGCATTAACAGTACGTATATATGCGCATGCACCGTAACCCACCTGCGAGGCATCGCTGAATAGATGAAGCTCGATATAGCTATTTTCAGGACCTATAACGCAACGTGGTATCCGCAAATGGTTCAATATGGGTAGGCATTTCTCAAATATACACCATTCTCTCGCTATGTCACTAGGAACGGCGTCGTCCCAATCCAGTTTTAGTAACCATAACCGTTGTAACAATATTTTGCCTCTCATTATTACTGGGCTAAGTAAACCAAGTGGGTCAAATATTTGAGAAACAGTGGACAATATGAATCGTTTTGTGATCCGTGACGTAGTGCTTTTAAATTGCGTATGATAATAAAACTCGTCACTCATATTATTCCAACCCAAACCTAATGTACGACAATTATTATTTTCGCCTAATGAAAGATTCTTTTTAATATTGCTTAAACTATTTGTATCAAAATTGAATACCCATTTACGCAAAGGAAAACAACCAGATGCCAAAACGTTTTTAATCTGCTCGCATAATTGTAACAAACGTTGACGACAATCAAACCCAAAAATCAAATCGTCTACGTAAAAATCTTCATTAATTATTAATTTGACGTCCGGGTCATTACATTCTGCTGCTAATTGTTTTAAATATCTCACCATAAGAAAAGGAGCCGAGGCAGTACCATACGTAACAGTGTTTAACCTGTAACACTCCAAAGGGTCGCTAGGATTGTCACGCCATACGATCATTTGGAGGTCTCGTTGTTCTTCATTAATTAAACACTGTCTGTAAGCCTTCTCAATATCAGCACAAACTACAAACTGATACTGCCGGAATCTAAGCAGAATGGCAAACAAATCGCCCTGTATGGGAGGCCCGATTAATTGCAATTCGTTAAGTGACACATTTGAAGTTGACTTTTGGCTCGCATTAAAAACCACTCGCAATTTTGTTGTTGTACTATGATCACGAAACACCCCATGATGAGGCATGAAATAATATGGTTTAGAATATGTATCAATTTTAGAAATATGACCTAAACTTTGATACTCATGAATAAAATCCGAATACATTTTTTTAAAAGAAGGATTGCATTGTAATCTCTTTTCGAGCGC